ACGACTAAATGACTGAAGAACAACAACAACAACAACAACAACAACGTCATCCTGATATGAGCAGGCCCTGGTCATCCTGCTCCTAGCTTTTAAACCCAGCTGGAGTCTGATCATATTAATAGTCATAGCAATCACAAACCATCTTATGAATACATCTGCACTCCTTTTTTTAATTCATACTTTGAAAGCTGCACTGCATCTCCTCTTTGGTTGTTTTTGTTGCTTTCTAATAGGTTCTAGCACCCATGTGACCACATCTGGGCTTGGAAGCTAAGCAGGATTGGGCCTGATTAGTATTTGGCTGGGAGATCTCCAAGAAATACCAATCTGCAAGGCAGACTTGAAAAACATCTCCAAACAGGGCACAGGCAAACATCTCCCTGTTGTTGCTAAAATCGCTCTATGCATTCATGAAGTCATCAGGAATCAATCTTGACTTGAAGGAATCATTATTTATTTTAAAAATTCAAAACAATAGTTCATCTAGATACAGGCTGCAAAGGTATTCCCGTTGGTATTCTATAGCCCTTGTTTGGGAACCGCAGGAACCGTCATGCAAAGAGTAGCCTGGAACTGCAGCATAAATTCACTTGATGTCTTTGTATAAGCCTGAAGTGCTTTCTGCTAGGAACACATAGTTCTTCTTTTCAGAGCTCTGGATGTGTTCTATTTACAGAGTTTTCTGCACCCAATATGAAAAGTCAAAATGACCACCACTTTCCCTTCTTCTTCTCCTCCCCCTCTAGACGATGTGCACTAATGTGCACGGATGGCGTTTGGATGTGAGCAAGTGGTGCCACCACTGGAAGCTTCTGCACACTTCAAAGCAGCCACTACCAAACAAACGCAAAGAGAGAGAGCTGCTGCTTCCCTGCCAGACAAAGAGACAAAGTACCATCTAGTGGGCAAGAGAATAAAGGACTCAATCATGATTTTTCAGGAACTGTATTTTGCAAATCCCCAGGAGTCCTTAGGGATTCAGCAGTCTATAAATACAGTTAATGAGTGGATAAATAATCTTATGACTTGATTAATACATCACACTAAGCCATAGGTGTGGCTTACTGAATAAACCAAAATTGGGTGGGCTTGCATAGCACGTCAAGTCATTATTATGACTTGGAAACCTTATTAGTTAAGTTACAAATCTTATCACTATCTACTTAAGAACAGCGTAATAAATATTAAAGTTCTGCATGGTTTCAAAATTATTTGGAAGAAATGTTTCAGACCTCACACACGTACGAGAACAACCCTTCTCTACTGTTCATTAAAGCAGCCCAATTTTTTTCAGGCTTCTGCAGGAACCTAAAGAAGAAGCCACTGCTTTAATTAGTCAAATCATTAAGGCAGAACATCTATCATGCGACACTGAAAGTAGTGGCATCTTCTTTCAGGCTTGTGCAAAAAAAGAGGTGACTGTTTTAAGGAATAAGTGAGAGGTATTGTGTTTGTGGGTCAAGATCTTCCAAGCCAGTTTTGAAGTTTGCCCAGCCCTAATAAATAAGGTTTAAACTTTCAGCTGGTTGTACGTTGAACCAAACAGTAATCTATTATTCAATCTATCCATCTTCCAGGATATAGAAATCATTGCACAGAAGTAATCAAATAATCAAAACAGATGTGGGACAAGAAGCTAGAGAGCTCCTTGTGTATATTCTGGGGACCTCATTCATAAAGCTTGTCTTATCAAAGGACTTGGAAAAGTTGCATCTTCTACAATGCCAATGTCCACAGAACTGTACAAAGTAAATAAAGTAGCCAGCCTAACACTGCGAGGCCACTGATCATTTATGAGTAAAGATGATATAGATATAGATAGATGATAGACAGATCTAGAGAATTTCAGCAAGGCAGACTGAGGCTGTATTCAAATATTGCACTAGGCCAAACTTTATTTGATGATGATTTATTGAATATGCCACAATGGTTTATTTATTTATAACCCACCTTTCTATTCTGGTGAGTACTCAAGGAGGCTTACAACATTTAAAAAACAAAAGCATTAATACTCTGATCTAAAAATAGTTTAAAAGTCTAGCAAAAGAGATATGTTTTCATAGATTTCCTGAATGCTGAGCAAATGGAAGGTAAAAGCTAGTATGTTCCACTGCATGGGGGCAACTGAGGAGAAAGCCTTTCTGGTCTGGCAGAAAGATGGGCCACTAACAATGGGGGCATCTCAAAAACCATCTCTTCTGCTTCCTCAATCAGGTTCTAAACTATTTAGGGCTTGAAATGTCAGTAAGCTGACCTCAAGGTCAGAATCAACACCTTCAATTGTGTCTCATAAGCAATCGGCAACAAGGGCAAATCTTTGCATCATATGATTCTTGTATTTTGCACCAGTTATAAGACTAGCTGACCTATTTTGCACCAACTGCAGCTTTCAGACACTTTTCTTGAGTATCCCCATGTTCAGCATGTTGCAGCAGTTGAGATAAACCAACACATCACCAAATCTGATGAGCTCAGGCGGGGTTCCAGATGGCATACCAGGAATAATTCTTCCAAAGTTTTCCTTGCCACAGCCACCATCTGCACTCCAGTAATACTATAACTAAGGATCAAAAAGCAAGCCTGCTCTTTCTAAAGGAGCACATCCCTATCTAAAAATACTGAACTTTATTTATGATTTAGCACCTCTCTCTTGATGGGATTTAATTTCAGCTTCTTCATCCAGCCCATTATCAAACTTAAGCAACTTTCAAGGTTTTTGTCTGCTTCATTAGAATTGGGTAGTAAAGAGCACTAGCAGTAACATACTACACAAGTCTGGGTGACCTCCCCAAGTGGTTCAATCTAGATGTTGAACAGAATGAGAAACATGATGAAACCCTGAGGGTCAGCAGCTGTATTCTCTCAGCACTACCTTCTGAACATGGCACAACAGGAAGAACTAAGATCACTGCAAAGCAGTGTCTGCAACATCCAGCCTTACCATGCCATCCAAAGGCATATCATAGTTGATGATTCTGAAAGTCACTGAGACTCCACTGAAGGGTCCAGAACTAGCAAGTTTGCAAACCAAAACACTTCATATATAAATGGGTGAGCTCCAAGTAGTGCTAGCCACATGTACCAAGCTACTCTTTTAATGTTGTAAAATCCCTTCCCTAAGATGTGCTTGCACAACATAGGGAGACCCAAACTTGCCAGACACATGGCTCCATTATTGTAACACAGTCATAGCAGCCATGAAGGCCTTGGAAAAAGATACTCAGATGCTGTGAAGTGTCTATATCTACAAAGATCAGAATTGTACAAGGCATGGCATTCCCTGTGACACTCTATGGAAGCAAAAATTGGAGAAGCAAGATAGGAAGAATATTGATGCCTTTGAACTTTGGTGTTGGAGAAGATTCCTGAGAATACTATAGACAGCCAAGAAAACAAACCAATGGATCATCAAACAAATCAACCCAGAGTTCTCACTCAAGGCACAAGTGACCAGGCTCAAATGATCCTACTTTGGACACATTATCAAGGCATGGCATTCCCTGTGACACTCTATGGAAGCAAAAATTGGAGAAGCAAGATAGGAAGAATATTGATGCCTTTGAACTTTGGTGTTGGAGAAGATTCCTGAGAATACTATAGACAGCCAAGAAAACAAACCAATGGATCATCAAACAAATCAACCCAGAGTTCTCACTCAAGGCACAAGTGACCAGGCTCAAATGATCCTACTTTGGACACATTATGCAAAGACTTAGCACTCTGGAAAAGGCTCTAATGCTGGGAAGGATGGAAGGAAAGAGAAGAGGACAACCAGCAGCTAGGTGGATGGACTCAGTTACGGTGGCGATGAGTGCACAGTTGGAAGACCTGAAAAACCAGGTTAGGGATAGATTGTCATTGAAAAAAAATCTATGTGGCCACTAGGAGTCAAAAATGACTTGATGACACATAATCAATCAATCAATCAATCAATCAACACAGTCATGCAAATGCAGTCTACATGTTTTACATAACACAAGGTTTAGGGGCATTTGGGGGAAAATAAAATCCAGCTGTTTGGCTCTGTTGAAAGTGCTGGGTTGAATGGATTATTTTCCAGAACAAACATCAGTGGCAGGCCTCGATATGATGCTTGAGCTCTAGCAGCTCCCCCAGAATGCTTGGTGATGATTCCATCATGGGAATTCCATATGGATGCATCTCTTCAAATAAACTGACAATCCTCCCAGCTTGCCCATATCCTCTCATATGTAGCACATTACGCATTTGTGTCCCACTTGTGACTTTCTATATATGGCTGATTGATCATGGTTTTTTTTTTGTTTTAGATTCTTATAAGAATTCAAACAAGCAACAAAAAATTATCTGAATTCTCCCTTCCCCTCCCCTCCCCACCTGAACATCTTCCAACCAAGGACAATTAAAAAACATTTAAATTTCCAAAGGAAGTTGCCATGTTAGTTTATTGCAAGAAACAAGCACAAGAGTCGTCGGACATATGCCAGATTAGTGCATTTCTTTTCACATAAAATCAATCCCAACACACTTCATCAGATGTGTGGAATCAAAGTCAAGCAAAAGGGACTTTTGGAATAATTACGGTTGAGGATGGAAAGAGGAGGCAGGAGAAATTGGCTGGAGGAAGCAGAATGACTTCAAGGTTGGGGGCAGAAAGAAGATTCAGAGTGTTGAGAGTAACAACCAGAATCTCACTTGTAGAGGCAAGTCTTTTGTCTGTCTGTGTTCAGAAGAAAAACTTAAGAACATTTCCTTCAGCCTTAAACAATACACGTTCTGATCCAAGTGGCACCCAGTACTGTGGTTGGATTCACACATCACATTAAGCCACAATCAGTTTATTTGGTAGCATGTTAATATCTGGCATGTAAACTCAGCCATTGTAATTTATAAACCACAGATTTCAGAGTACAGTAGCAAAATATTTCATCCTGGACTGTAATTGTATATAGTCCCCAGTCAAGGATAAAGATCTTATTACTGCCTATTTTAGGCAGGGGAGAACACGCTCCTTCCACCCAGGAGATATCCATCATCTTTCTTGACCGCGGCGCCAGACCTGAGTTTCATCCTGAGTTCATCTGTCGAGGATTTTTCAATTAAACCAAAATAATTAGTCCGTGACCAATTACAGTGTAAAGGAAGGAAACAAACGTAGCTCCAGTCCAATGAAGGCTTAGGAAGGCAGGTCTCCTGGCACCAACGGGCCAATAAGAGCACGTAAAAGGTTACGTTGAAAACGAAAGTTCCGACTTTGTAAACATCACAGGACCGTGCCTTTAAGCGTTTATTGCAAGCTTTTTTTTTTTAAACGGTTTGTCTTCCCAAAACCGCATTGGGTAGGCAATCGCATGAAAATAATCGCCCACTGCAGAACTATCAGAAACTGCATTTTATTTTTCACCCACATTTTTCACCTAAGGTTATGACGAATGTGAAAAATACTGATAGGGGACAGGCAAATTTCCTGACACTTACACATGTAGGAGCAATCCCTTTCATGTCTGGAGTAAATTCTTTGAATTTTTAACCGAATTTATTTCCAAGTAAGCCTACAAAAGACTGCACTGTTCAGATTTCCCCAACCATGTGAGAATACGGATATAGTGAAATTCTGCCTGAAATTCTTTAGCTGCCGAAAAGTCGGGCAAGGACGCGTTATGGAAGGAGGAAAATGAAGGGCAGAAATGTGGGATTTCAGATTGGAGTTAATGGACTTGATGCACTGCAGGATGCCTTTTTTTTTTGCAGCTCGAGCTTGACAATGTTCCCTTTGAGTTCAATTTTGAATCTCGCTGTTCTAGAAAATCCCCCCCCCCCTTGCTGAAGGCAGTGATATAGATACGGGAATGAGGTTCGGCTTAAAGAATGGGTGATTCGCTGTCCGTCTTCCCTACAGAGCAAAGAGCAAAATGCATTTTGAGACAGGGGGCGAGCTTATGAAAATGCCAATTCACTTAGAAGAACCATAGGGCTCCATGAACAGGCGCTTGTCTCTGGTGCAACTGTTTTTGCAGGCGATCCTATGCATGCTTCCTCAAAAGTAAGGATAACTCAGTGCAATAAGGCACACTCCCAGGTAAATATGTGCACCAAAATTGCAGCCGCGCCGCCCTTTTCGTGAGAACTGTGATGCTATCGCTCCAGGGCTGATCTCCCTACTGCGCCAACTCCGAACAGCAGTGGGGAAAACGAGGCCTTTTTCGCCAATTTCCCCTCTTCTGACTGCCTAATTCAATCCTCTTCCCCTTCCCTGGAGGAAGGAAAAGGAGCCTGGCCCTCCCTCCCAAGTCCAAGGCTGGCCTTTGTGCTAGGCCTGCGGTGCGAATCGGGACTTATCTCACGCTCGCGCAGGTTCCTTGTGGGTGGAGCCCGCTGCTCGAGCAGGTCTGAAGCAGGAGCGGCTTTCGTGCGCCCGGTTCCTCTGACAAACTAGCGCTCGCCAGAAGGGGAGGGCGGGGGCTCGCTCGCTCGCTCGCTGTTCTCTCGCGCGCGCTTGGGAAAATGTTGCGCAGGTTCTAAAATGGAACGTTAGCGGCGGCGTGATTGAGCTCTGAAGGGGGGGCCGGAGTAAGTAAGAGCGAGAACTGCAAGAACAAACAGCGGTAGCCGGCGCGCACTTGGATACTTCACTCAGTCTGCGAGCAGCCGCTGCCTTCGCCGCCTCCTTCTTCGTCCCTGTATGGAGCTTTCCGCTATTGGGGAGCAGGTGTTTGCTGTGGAGAGCATCAGGAAGAAGCGCGTAAGGAAGGTGGGTTCTGTTCCCTGCGCCGAGTTCGCGTTTGTTCTGCAGGGCTACGAACGGCATTGAGGGAGGAAGAATCTGGAAGGCGGGATTTCTTCCACGGCTAAGCCTTCTCTTGGGACCTTTAACCACAAACCGTTATCGAAGCGATAGCTCCTCTGCTCTCTCCAAACGGCAAAAAAATACCGAAGCAAGCGAAGCGAGAGTACATCATCCTCTGCCCCCCAGTTTGTACACACGCCGTAGTGCGAGTAGGGGGGCGTGGCGGAACTTCTCGTTTTCCTGCCAGCAGGGGGCGGCAGTGAAGCCCAAGAGAAGGCTGACTCGCCGGAGTGCAGAGAAATGATGGTTGTTGCGCGTTTATCACGTGGTGATGTCCCTGTTGGAATGTGGACAAGGGTTGCGGCAGTCCCCCAGCGCAGTGCCAGCTCTGGCTACTCATGTGTAAATGCCTTGAGTTCAGTGGAACTCACCTCCAGACAAGTAACTAAAGTGTCTTGGATTGCAAGTTTAGGATTGCTCTAGAGTGGGAGTGTTAAGAGTAGGGCACACGTTTCTGCTATAGGAAGAACAAATATGTCAAAATGGGTGGATGTCATCTTTTTAAAAACTCTGCCCCTCAGGTTGGATCATTTTCTTGCTTCCCATGTTTTTGCTCTGTAGTCCTAGAGAAGTCCTGTCCTGATGAACAGAGACACTGGGATTGTATCTCTTGGAAGAAGGTTAGCTATTTCCAACAGCTTTATTGAAATTTGAGATGGTTCTGAGATGACCTAAATATGATTACTTGGGGGAAACAAAGATTAATGTTTAATCTTTATCAGGTTATTTAGGCCATAAATATTCACAGTTGTCTGCATGATTTATTTGCCTTTCAGGGGTAATCTGTGCTAATCAGTCAGTTTCTTTGATGTGAAAAATGTCAGGTTTTTGTATGAGTTGAAGATTGCAAGACCATACACATCCTTTTTAAAAATGTATGAATTTTTTTTTGTAATATGAAGCACAATATCAGTAATTTTAGGAGAGGAGAATTCACTCAACAGTTTACTAAGTGCTTCTGAGCCTCCCCATTATATGAGGAAGCCTCATACTGGCAAGTTAGGCTACTGAGAAAATGGAGGTAGTGCTTTTGGCTTGTGATTTTACTGTAAGGATGCAGCTATTGCGGATCTGGTATCTTTATAGCCTGGGTACAGAACCTGCATTCTAGGTTTGGGAGACAGTCTTGCAGAACTAGAAAGTAGTGTCAGATCTTACATTAACTAAAAGCTTTTATTGTCTCATAATACTGGTTTGCTAACAAATCTATGCTGTTGGCCTTCTGTTGTGGTGGGAGATGAAACCATCACTTCATGGTGGGCCCACTGATCATGGAGAAAAAGATATACATGATCTCTTGTGTTCAATTGATGGGAAGTGAGGAGTAGGCTGGCATTCTGTACTGTGAACCAATGAATGACTGTGTATAGATGGGGAGGAGGCTGAGAATCTTGTACTTATCAGGCAATTATCTGCACTATCTTAGATAAATCTGGCTGAGAAACATTCCTGTAGCCCAGTGTTTAGTCCATTGCATACGATTATCAAGACACCTAATTAATTATATTGTAGGATGCTGTAAGCAGAGAGCCTGTGTGATGTTCCAGAAACACTTGCAGGCCAGGAATGAAAGTAGCAAGATGCTCAAACCAGCCATCCTATCTAGCAGGCAGAGTTTTTTATCCCAATTTCTAAGCATTCCTTCTTAATCATGTATAGATGGGTTGGAATGTTGCCCGTGTGATCCTTTGCAGTTTCTTTATGCGTCCTGGAAGCCTTTGGATACATCTCCAGGGCAAGCCCAGGAATTGCAGCTCAGTGCGTGGAGAGCTTTAGATTATAAATGCAGAGAAATGGGCAGGTTGAGGGGTGCTGTTTGTTTGTTAGAGAGAATATTTTGTAGATCTAATTTTTTCTGCAGGGCTTGATGAAACTGTTGGTTTTACTTCCCCTCCCTTCTCTTTTTCTATAGGGTAAAGTGGAATATCTGGTGAAATGGAAAGGATGGCCCCCCAAGTAAGTTTGGATTATATTTGAAATTGTGCATTTGTATCCATGACCTGTCTTATGTTTGTTTGTTTGTTTTTTCCTGTTGTCCCCAGCTTCAAGAGAAGTATCACTCTACTTACATTTTCCCAAGTTGGTCCTTTGAACTAAGTTCAACTTATATGTTTTTATATGTCCTTTTTTAAAAAAAATACTTTTTCTTATGGTGTTGTGGGAAATAGTTCAAGAGTAGAAGTCTTTCTTCCCAAATGAAACACATATTTTAAAAATAAAGGTTATAATTGGAGTAATCCCAGAAAAAGGGTTATTAAGTTCTTTGAGATAGTATGGGGTCCAAGTGGAATGAGTAAGGAGCACATTATGATTTTGTTGGTTGAACAATAAATATTTGCTTGCAAGCCATCCATGATTTGAGGTGGCTGTCAATGGGCATTGGCAGAAAGCAGAGAAGAGAAGCAGGTCTGCTTATTATTTGTGTGTGATATGGAGAACAGCAGGGGTCTCTTTGTGCTGTTTAGAAAATCCTCTATTTAACTGATCAAAAACTACTGTAGAAATGAGATGGGGATCTCTGTGCTGCTCACCAGAATCCTGTGTGTATATGTATCCCTGGCAAGATGGCAAGTTGGTCAATGCCCAGTTTCAGTTTGGTCTTAGATATTTGGCAACACAATGCCTTTTTCTTCCTAACTCAAATGGCCTACAGTCAGCTGCATTATTTCTTCCCAGAATGAGACGTATATAACCTCCATTCAGGTAACTTTGTATTGCTTAAGCAGCTGCAAGTTGCTTTGTGTTTCTAGCGACTCAGTGGCTCCCAAGAGATAATTGCATTTCAGCAGGACAGAGTAGTAGTCTTTATTGCAAGATACAATAATGTGAAGCAATAAAATCATTTGTGTATAAAGGAGGTATTCCTGTTAATCCAAGACATAGGGACATCTTCGTTATTCTACTGCCATGGATTATATTGTAACTATAACAACAACTTGAATATTTCAGTGGAAGTTAAAATGGGCTAAATGCCAGTGATTGGTACAATTCAGTGTTTTTAGATTTTAGATGGCACTGTTTTATTGGTGAAACATGTTAGTTATCACATTTTGAAGTAAACAACCCTTCTGTGTTTAGAAACTTTTCTGCTGCTCAGGGACCTGGATTTTGGTCCCCAAATCTTGCTCTGACATCACCGCTGAACATAGCTGTAGGCAAATCATCTGCCAGGATATTACTGGCTTCCTGCTAATCCTGGAGTTTGAATTCTGAGTGGGCGTACCCATCAGTTCTTGGGCCAGAAAGGAAGATATCCAAACTATACTCTCTGTTATCAGTATTAATAGTGTTTGCTGAGCTTAATCATGGAGGTGTCAATTATTGGTTAGCAAGGCTTCTCCAACATGGCACCCATCACATGTTTTGGGACTACAGCTCTTGGGATTCTCAGCCCCCCTTTAAATATCAGACTGAAATTTGGTTTAATTTGTTCATTATAGAAACATTACTTTGAAGAGGAGAAGATCATGCTATTATTTCTTAGCCCATAATATTCCTCCACTATTTCAGAAATATTTCTGAATTTTAGAGTTTCAGAAAGCAGCAAAAAACTGACCACAGTATCTTTTGCTGTACTCCCTTTTCCTTCCTCTTCACTTTAATGAAATAAACTCCCAATAAGGATAGGTTAGGGTTTCTTAGCTTTTCTGGTGCTGGAAAAAAAGATCCATAACTGAAATGGCTATTTAGATCTATCAAAATCAATTAGAAATTAGCTTAAAAGCCAACAATTGATTTTTGTTAGAAATTGTCTTGCAGATCACGGTTTGTTTTCCCTTTGACTGCCCTTTTTTTTGACACAGGTCTTTGAACATTAAAAATGCATAGCATTTTATTCTAGGCTTTATTCTAGATTAATTCTAGGATGGAATTAATTTCTGATGGTACCTGCAAATGTCTACAATATTTCATTCACTAGTCCTTCCCAATTAGTCCTCTTTCCTTGTGAGATAGGAGGCAAATGGCTGCAGATCAAGAATTGTTGGCTGTTTCTTGTGACTCTTTCCTCTCCCTCCCCCGGCCCAATGTCATTTGTGTGCCTCTCTGAAAACTTGCCTTCATGCCCCACCCATCAGAGCCAAGAGCCAAGAATTTGGTTATAGCTCTGAGTCAGCTGCAAGCTTGTTTACAACTTGAGTTAGAAGAAAGGAGGGGGAAGGAGAGAAGCGATCATATGACTTGTATTTTCCAGAATGCGTGGTCTGCAGTTCTGCTGCAGTCTGGCCCGTTCTGTTTGTGTGGTGGCGGTGTGTGTATTTGTCTTGTGTGGCGAAGTGCACTGTTTTCCTATATGCAGTGTTTTCTTACCGCAGTCAAGCAAGAAGCTGAACTGCAGAGGAATGGGCAACACCCATAGGACATTTATTAAAAATTCTGATCTAAGATCCCCCCTCCCAGTGCTGCCTCCCCTTTCCTCCCAGGAATTCTTAGCCTGCTCTTCATTCACTGATTAAAAATGGTGCCAAAATCTTCTACAGCAGAAAGAAAGAAGACAAAATCACCATTTGTTCAAATGGCATTTTTGGGTTTAATCACTTTTCACTGTGGACATTGGCACAAAAGTAGAGATGAGGAAAAGGGGCTTTTAAAAGGCTGGACTAATACTGTACAGTAATGGAAACAAAATATAAATGAATGAAAATGAAGCTGGAGATGTAACTATTTTTAACCTTGTCCTTCTCTTATGAGCAGGATCTGAAAGGCATATTTTAAAGTAAATGTATTGACTTTACATCATAGCTCCTTCCCTCAGCCTCAAGGCAGGTAAAACTATTTTCTTGCTGCATTTGTCTTCTAGTCAGGCATGTGAAAAACTTGTTATTTTTCTATTTCATATCACAGGCAATGAGCTGGACTGAGTATTTTATTTCATAACATAATTTTCCACTATCCAGTTTAGCAAAACATTCAGAAAGAAAAAAAAAGAACAGGCAATGAGCTGGACTGAGTATTTTATTTCATAACATAATTTTCCACTATCCAGTTTAGCAAAACATTCAGAAAGAAAAAAAAAGAACAGGCAATGAGCTGGACTGAGTATTTTATTTCATAACATAATTTTCCACTATCCAGTTTAGCAAAACATTCAGAAAGAAAAAAAAGAACCTGCTTAAGATTGCCCAAGATTGGAATTTGAGCCTACATCAGAGGGTAGAGAACCTAGACCCCTGAAATTTATTTTGTAAATCCAGTAGTTCCTTGCCATTGGCCAGGCTGGCTAGGATTAATGGGAATTGAAGATCAAAATATCTGGAGGGTAAAGGATTATTTTCCCCAGGGATTATCTTCTCAATGTTATGGGAAGACTCAGTAGCTTCGGTGGTCTTGAAAGTGACACCAGTGGGAGCTGGAGCTCATGATAGAATTACCTTTGCTGGTAAGGTCAAAACTGGAGAGGGAAAGCTAAAAAAAATCCTCAGTAGGGGGAGGGCAGATGAGATTCTGGAGGTGCTAGAGAAGCCAGCCATTTAGGAGAAGAAAGTCCAAAATCAAATATGAAAGAAGGTAACAGCAAACCAGTTCTGTATTGTTGCCAAGAAAACTATATGACCTTGGTTGAAACATTTAAATATCTATGGGTCCCATCACCCTGCCTACCCCACTCAGAAAGTACTCTTTAGCTTTTAGGGAAAAAATGTCAAACTTTCACAAGCACATCTGGAAGAGAAAATGCGGCCAATGCTGAAAGAATCATTCTTTATTTTCAAAGACACACAGGCGTAAATATGGAATGTGAGATGCATGAACCAGGGAAATGGGTAAACAGGATGTTTCAGGTCTAAATGAATTCAGGTGGTCCAGATAACATATAGTGGTACCTCGGTTCACGAACTTAATTCGTTCCGCGACTCTGGTCGCGAACCAAATTGGTCGTGAACCAAATCAAATTTTCCCATAAGGTCCAATGTAAATACGGTTAA